TAATTTGTAAGCAATAATGACTTATATTAAGTAATATTAAGTAATTATTATATTCTATTACTTATTACATATACAAATGAATACATAATGATGGTCGGAATTGAGTAATCAAAACTGAGATTGAACGAAATGTTTCTGCTAGCAATAAAATGATCGTAAAAATTACTTATTATTATTTATTGGCCATCTCTAAAGTATGTAATTAGTATTGATATATATCTATCCAATTAGTAATTGATATGGGTGCCACCAAGTGAAGACAAGGAAGTATAAAAATAGTTTTCTTTAGACAATGGAATGCAGGTTTTTAAACGATCTGACTAGAATAATAAATTATACTGTTTTTTAATTATATATTGTGGCAGATTAAAATAAAATTCAGATTAAAATGAAATAATAATATAAAATCTCGAAAAATAAATTTTTTGGTGTGTATTTTTAGGGTTAGGAGTTAGAATTAGGAGTTAGAATTAGAGTAAAATATATTAAACAAGTATAAGTAGGTTTTAGAAGGTTAGAAGATTGAATAAAAAATGTAGATTTCATTTTAAATTATTATCTGCGACATATATTAGTATTATTTAAAGTTTGTAGTTTGTTGTCTAAAGAAAGTTATTTTTAGACTTCTTGGTTTTATTTGGTGTATCTTTGATAAAATTATAGTTGTACAATTATGTTTTAATTGTATAATGGTATGATTGTACAATACTGTGATTGTAAAATAGTGTAATTATATAATGGTATTATTGTATAATAGTATGAATGTACAATAACATGATTGTACAATAAATATGATTGTTGTTAATTATTTTATATAAAATTAAATTATACAAAATATATAAATTGTAATAAAATTATTTAACATGTAATTATTTTTTGTTAATTAATAAATACGAATTAGAATTTATTTAATTATAATTAAAATTTAAATTTTAAATAATGGAAATAATGGAAATTGTAGAAGAAAATATTGATAACCAATTAGTAGAAGAAGAAAAAGATAAAAAAATTTGTCTATTTAAAAATTTAGTAAAAATATATAAGCATACAGAATTGGAGTTAATTGAATGTGAAATTAGTGAAAATCAAAAAATACGTAAAGCAATAGAACCAAAAGATATTCAAAAAATCAATATTTTAGTTAATTATTATTTGGAACTAAAGGATACTCTTGGATCTTTAGATAAATATATTATATGTCAAAAACATTATAATCAAGTTATTAGAAATGATAATTTTATTGAAAGGTTACAAAAAAATTTAAAATTTTCAAGTTCTATAAATGATGATTATAATAATTTTTAAAAACAATTAGAAGAAATTTAAAATCAATTAAAAGAATATAAACAACAAATTAAAAAATTAGAAGTTAAAAATAATGAATTAATTGCTAAAAATAATGAATTAATAGTTGAAAATAATCAATTAAAAAAATAATTGATTTTAATTTTAATGATCAAGAAATTCGTATTAAATCTATTAAAGAAATAGCTCAAAAAGAAAGAAAAAATTTTTATGATGATTTAATAACTTTAATAGATAATCAAAAAAGATTCAGTTTAGAAAATTATTATTATATACACCTTTAGATTGGCCTTCTAAATGTAATCCAGTTATTGTTGAATTTATAAAAACTACATATGCGCAGATTGCTAAAATTGGACCTTTTTTAAGACCCTAAATCTATTATTTTGTACCTTAAATTATCGATCAGCTGATCATTTTTTACCCCAAATCGATTATTTTTTACTCTAAATTTTTTTAAACCAATTTTTCAAAACAAAAATTTTATATGTATATACACGTCTAACCAATTGTCCGTCTTCAAAACCAATTGTGCTTTTTTGGGTTTACTTAAGTAAAAATGAAAAAAACATTATTTTATATTCTACATAGTATACTAATTATTAATTTATTTTTATTAAATAGACGAAATAAAAAATTTGAACAATATACAGTATAGAAGATCTGAATTTATGAATTTATTAAATTAAATAATTTAAAACCTATATTAAATCTGAGTATATGTAGTATATTTATATTGTAGTAATATAAATTTTACAGTAAATATATATATCGTATTTACAATAAGCAGTTCAGGTATTTGTGTTAATAGATTTCTTGTAATTCTTGGTTTACTGTTAAAGAAAAACTTATATATGATCTTTTACAGTATAATGTTAATAAAATTATAATTTTATTCAAAATTAAAAACCAAACTATTATTAATAATAAATTTTATTTAAGTGTATTTTAAATAGTTAAAAGTCTTTCATGACTATATAAATAATTTAACAAACCGCATAATAAACAATAATCTAACTCATAAAAAAAAAATAAATAAAACAGAATGTTTTGAATAAAATGGTACTAGATGTTTTGTGAACTTAAATAATTATTGCTATTATCACTTTTAATAATAACTACCATAAATGGCCAGATAAAAGATCCCCCACAACATCAGATCCACTATGTACTATGCGAATTATAGAATCGGTATAGTTTTTTCAAATATCCAAACTGGCCATTAAAAATGAAAAATACGCATATTCTCCTTTTAATGATATACACTCTCAATTGTGTACTATACCCTGGGTCTATTATAGGTTTTAAAATCGGTGGAATGTAAGAGACCCAGAACTTTTATCCAGCAATTTACGGTAGTCTATCAAATAGAATTATTCAATTATGGAGTTCTGAGTTAAGCTTAATATGACCATCAATATTCTTATTCTTACTTGATAACTCTTGAATTGTTGTCAGGATTACATATCTAACACCATGCTATAAATGCCTTATAATTATTTTTTTAATTCAAATTCTGTTTCTATAACATTATGCGTTTCTTAGTTGATTTTGATAATGGATAAATAATCTGTAAGTATCCTTTTTGACTTTGATTCTATTTTGGTAGCAGTTACAAAGTGCAAAGGTTCTATTGGAATCTTCTATCTTAGTATCATGATAAAAGAAACCACCTGAATAGAACCCAGGTGAGTTAAAAATGCAACCTACTTGGTAGTATAGTGATTAAACTCACCACCAGAACTATGGAAATTTTATATACAATTAGAGTTTTAATGTTAATAGAATGAATAATCTTTGATATATATTATTAAAATAGAATTGAAACTAAAATGCTGGTAAAATTAAATTGGTGTAGTGAAATAATTTACTACTATTGGTAAAATTTGATATACACTTGACCCTCGCTAATATCCACCCATTTGGATCACTCTTATATTTATGTTGATAGTGATATTAGTGAAGAATTATAGTGAAGTTGATATATATGAAAGAATTTTGATATATAAAAATTTATGAAAATTTGTCTTGTGGCTTAGGTTGATATTAATGTAGGTTGATATTAACGAGGGTCATGTGTAATTAATTTCACCAGCATCTTTAATTGGAGAAATAAATAAATATAAAGAATTTAATTATATACGGAAATAAATGAAATTGAATAATAAATATTCATGAGCTTGAATAGACACTTAGGTTAATAGATATTCTTTATACTTAGCGACACCAAATTCAAGCAAATATGAAATTAAATAATATATAGATATTAATGAACTTGTGTATCTTATTTTAAATTATGAGCTATACAGATAACAAAAAACTTACTTTTAATCTGTTCATAAAATTCTATACCAATTCTGCATCTACAACAAATTTCAGTTTAAAAATTCCTATAATAACACCTGATTTTAGTTAATACATAAATACTTTATTCTTAATATCAATTACTAACTTGATACATCGTATTAGAATTATTCATATTGATCTGCTTACAAAGCATTATTTACCTACTATCTGAAATTATGCTACTGAATTGACTAAGATTGTTCTCAAGTGCCTACTTCAATGAGTTTACCGAATAGTTTAATTAGTCGAAAAAATTGATCTAATCATTACTTGGGTCAAAAAACCTGGAGCTGCAACCACCAATTTTTTTTACAGAATTGTGCTAATTGGTTATTGATAGAGTAATCAAAGAGATTGCTCAAGCTCAAATACTCTTTTATTATTTTTTCGTAACATGAATCCTCAACAAGACCATCATCACTACCAAAAAATTATTATCCTACTCTTCATGCTAAAAACTCTTATAACAAATAAAAAACATTGAGTTAATATTCAAAGAATAAAAAATTAATTATATATATATATGTTGTATATATATTTTATTAAAATAACATTCATACTTCATTATATTTCGATATCGCTTTGTTTAACGTTGAAGAATCTATATAGAGTTGCAAAGTTGCATTGGCGAATATAGTTGTTGCCATAATGAGTATAGCCAACTATGGCTATTGTTGCAATGATAAGTTATTTGTGAAATTGTTAAGAGGGCAAATACTGAAGGCAAAGTTTTAACCATCAAAGTCTTGGGTGCTAAATTTTTAAGTAACTAGGTAATCGCCTTTTTTTTTTTGAAATCATGAGATAGCTCAAGCATCGATCACAATCTTTATTTGAATTGATCGTAGCATTTAAGCGTCACCTTGATCACTAGTCAATTGCATTGAGGGAGACGCTTGAGAACAGCCTAAATGTGAGGAGTTTTAAGTTTGTTAAAGAAAATTATTAGTATAATTTGCGATAGTATAATCTATCTACTATAGCAGGCGCAAAAGTAAATTCCACGCCTACAAGATCATGTTCTAGCTTTTTTTTTTTTTTTTAAAAAAAAAATCAGGATTACCAGCCACAATTATATATAAGCAGTAGAGTGCCAAGTCCAACTTGTATAATGAGTCAAATGTCAGGATCGTTTAATAAGAAAGTAAAAATTGTACGTACGTACGTACTATACATATACATATACTAAAATGATCATCTGCACAAATGCATATATATACAATAATTGGTTGATTAAATTTGTTTTTTTAACATTTTATATAGTATGAATATTAAGTAAAGGCAAATTTTCGAAGCTTTAAATATATAATTTTTGCATACAGTTTATTTAGCTTGCAGTTTGAATATCGATATTATATACTTACTCTATACATTTAATGTTTTAAATAAAATTTTAAAAATTAGCAGCAATATTATAGTTGTCATATTAGCTTGAAGATTCATGTTTACTAATAGAAGCTTAGCTATAAATGAAAGCTCTGTTACTTCCTCAATACCAATATATATTTGTGATTTATGTGATCGCAAATATAAATCTGAAAATAGATTAAATAAGCATAAAAGTGTAATTGTACAAAATAACAATTCTAGTTCCATATTTACAAGCTTCCAGCTGAAGAAATAATGTTTTTTAAAAAAACATTAGTACATATTATTAATGAACGATTGAAACTTAATTTCAAACATTTTGGAAGTCAGCATTTTTTTTTTCCTTGCTCAGAAAGTTAGTTTTTTAATATATTTCAGGGATATATTCATACTCTTTCACGATCTGGTCAATATATATATATATTTCGAGGTCTGGCAGCATATGCGATACTTGGAAAAATTTTAGAAGATTCTAATTGGGGTGCTAAACATTATTCACATAATCAGAAGACATTTGTTATGATTCATCATAATAGACGATCTCACAATATATTAGAAGCTTCTAAACAGCATCCAATATCACATATCAATAATCAAACATTAATTAGAAAACAATGGTTTAGAAAGAAAAAGCAAGAAGTAAAAATTATTTGGAAACAAAAACAATCAAAACCAGATATAAAAGGACATTATACTTGTTTAGAATATATTTATTTGAGCTTTACTATTGCTCAATTACAATTTTCTGAAGCTTCTAATCTATAAGTCTAATTTTCTAAAAATTATGAATTAATGTTTAATTTTGTTATTTTAGAAGAATTGGATTTTGTATATTTGAACAAGTAGTAGATTTTTCTATTTTTGTATTCTAGAATTTCTAAAATTGCATTTTTTTTCTGATTAGAATGTCCACCATTTTTTAGTAATTTTCTAAAAAAATAACAAACATGTTGGTGATTTTTATTTTCAATTGGTTGATATATAAATGCTCTTAACCCAAATTGATAATACAAATGAATAAAATCAGGAATATGATTAACAAGGATATGAATATATGGTGTTAAGTCAGCAACTCTATACAATTCTTCAATAAAATCTCCTGATTGGTCATTCCATCGTGATGGTAATAAAAATTTTTGTTCCCATTTTTTTGCTTCGATTGCAAATGTATCTGGATTTGTTAATTGATCTTTCATTGCGTTATACAAATTATAGAAGCCATCCCATAATTCTCATATCATTATTGCTCAATCCAATGGTAAAATAGTCTTTAGATCAAAATTTCGCAATATATTTTCTTTATCTTTTCCTGCTAAGGAGGTATGTAACCATTTTTTACTATCCCGGTCTTGCCAAAAAGAAAATTTAACTTTAATTCATTCCATTTCTTTACAAATAATCAAGCGTATATTATCATCAAATTCATCATGATGCTTTAATTCAGAAATTATTAGTGCCCATAATCTATCTGTTATACGTAATAACATATGTAATTCGTCGGGAATAAAATGAGAGATTGGAATCATATCAAAAATAGATAGATTATTGTAGCCATTATAACTTTTATAATTTTCTTTAAATTTTCAATTGTTTTATCAATAGTCTACAATTTTTGACTTCCAAGATCTTTTTTCGAACATTGACATCATAAACAAAATGATTCAGAATTGGCTGCATTATGACCAAGACAGAGAGCAGTAAACTTCCAATCACCAGAAAAATACAAATTAATTTTCTAATGATTTCCAATTAAATCATAAAAACCTTGTTCTTTTAATTTTTGCAATTCTTCTATTAATGGTCTTGTAGCTTGTTTGAGAGATTCATAACTTTCAACTCCCGAATATAATAAAACTATAAAATGAAAATCAGGTATTTGTATACTAGTTTTGTTATCCAAGATTCCAATTGTCATCATTACATGCTTAATTTTTTTTCTGACATTTCTGCCATCATCTGAAATTCTAATATTAATTATAGGATCATTAATATTTAGAATTTTTTTTGAGACCATATCCGGTAATATAAACTCTAATAATTTTTAAATACTTCAATAATCAACATTTCCAGTAAGATGATCAGAATTATCATCATATTTACAATTTGTAATATTAAACAAATAAATAGGTATCGCATTATTCATTTGATTATTTAATTGGTTTTTAGCATTTGATATAGCATATTCTCGTGGTATTTCATTTTCTATAGCTGCTAGTGTTCTATAACCACTATGAAATATATACAACTCATCCATAGCTTTTACTATTGCTAAGTAATTATTGTTTTTGTTCCTTATGTCTTCTAAATTAAAATTGGCTTGAAAATCTTCATTATTAATAGAATAAGTAGCTGCGCGATGCTGTCACGTGAAACCAGGAATGGGAGAAATCTACGCAGACACCATTTCAGTACGGGAAACCATATTCTTCATTGCAATCCATTCCTGGCATAAGAAAATGATTCTTTATAAAAGAAGTCGATAGTACTTGCAATCTGAATATTGGTTTGAATTTCAGTGACTGAGCCTAAAAACCTATTAATGAAGTCAATGTCTGA